TATATATATATATATATATATATATATATATATATATAATATGTAAGATATTCATGTGATTTCTTTAACATTCATGTGATTTCTTTTCGTTGATCTAGAAATTTAAGTTTTTTCTAAATAAAGTTATTATGACATCTGTATTGGTGACAAGAAATAAGTATATGGTCAAATAATCAAAATGTGTACCAAGTATAGTAACACCCTAGAAAATTTGAATACGAAAAACGATATTGATTGTATAAAGTGTGCAAGCCCTAGACACTAGTGACATCTTTAAAGGCGTGAATAATATCACGAACGGTATTACATGCTATAACAATCTAAATTGAATAGCATAGATATAAAATATTGCAGCTTGATGCACAAAATTTATTTTCACATATACACAGGATCCGACTAAAAATCTTGTCATGATACAAGTATCGATGATCGATTTCTTGACGCAACTTATAATTAATTTACTATATAAAGATAACTTTACAGTTATTCCGAAACGAAGAAATATAAATTTGATAGAAAATTTACCTTGACAAAACATTGCATCTTGTCTAGAAGAAAATCTTGATACTCCTCCAAACTAAACTCAACCCTTCTTGTTGGAACATCATAGAAATTAAATATAAAATCATTACTCCCTGAACTAACCATAACCAAAGCACCTTTCACAATTCTTTTTTTTTCTTTTTCACCAAAAAAATCATTCAATTTCTTCAAATACTCTTTAAAATGTTCTAATTGTTTTCTCATTGAAATTACACCTGAAATTAAACTTGTTAAATCATCATATCCTGATCCAGCTGATCCAAATGAAACTCCACTTCTATAATCATTTTCCAATAAATTTGGATTTAAATATGGTGGCACACCATACTTTTTTAGTTTTAATAAATTTGCCAATATGTCTGGTACAATTTTTCCATTTGAAAATCTACCTGTTGATACATGGTTAAAATAGTCTTTTCCATAAGGTATATGATTGCCTTTGAATAAAGTAAATATATAGTTGTTATTTCCAGTGTCAACTGTTGAATCACCAAAAACAAGAATTGATGTAAATTTGGGCATGGACTGAGTTTTAATTGTGTTAAACAAAAAAAGGGCTAAAAATAAAAAGATGAAGAACAAGAGGGAAAAAACTTTAGGTGCCATGGCTTAAAACTAAGATTTGAACCAAAAAAATTGTAGTTTTTATGTTTACTCCAAGAAGAAAAATTAATATTCATGAGCTTTAAATGGTTCAAAGATATGTTGTTATGCACAAAATTATTATATATTTATAGGAGATTGTTTTCTTGATTAATCTAGTAGCTATTTTTTCAAGGAAAAGGAACAATTTTGTAATGGACTTCATGAAAATGATACATATTTTTGGTAAACTTACTAATATATACGGTTCGATCAAACTTATTTATCAATATGATCGAAATATATACTGACTACTGATATTATCGGTATAGATATACATATTATATGTTTATTATACTTGTACATACAAAATTTATACAATAGCTAGATACATATTTTATAAACTAGATCACTCAAAGACATTTGAACTGTGATTATTCTTTTTTTATCTTTAATTTTCTTGTTCATTTTCTTTTAACAAACCAAACAAGAACACACAATTTTTCCTCTTTACCTTAATTCCTTTACTAGTTATCATATTATAAACAATGGGAAGTGTAGAAAAGCTTATTGTATATTTGAATGCTTCTTTGATGGAGAATTTAAAAGTATTTCTAATTTAATTGTTTTTTTTTCTTTATATGATTATGAAATTGGTTCAGAATTAAGCTGCTTTAGAATATGGAAACATTCATGTGTCAAATTTTCACAAAATATAGTAATCTTAAGGATTTTGGATTACCATTGTTTACTTC